AGCCGAGGGCTCGCAGACAGGACTTGAACTCCTGGTGGTTGAGGCGTCCGCTCTTGTCTTTGTCGAAGTGCTTAAACATCATTGAGAACTCTTTGAGCGCGTCTTCGCTCACACCGGACTGATTGCGCGCCTGAATCTGTTGCTCCAGATTGTGTTGCATTCTCATTCCCAACTGATCCAATTGGTCCCACTGTTGCGCCAATCCTACAGTCGAGTGCTCTGTATAGCGGTTGTCCAGAATCAAGTGCTCCTCCAAAGTGGCGCCCAAGTCCTCGATCTTCTTCAGATCGGATCGTTTGGCCCTAACGTCCGCAGCCTTTCGACGGGTGGCGTCCAACTGAGCCTCCAGAGTGCCCGAGCCCTCCATCATTGATGAGCTATAGGTTAGTAGTATTATAGAGATTAAAGTCAAGCAATTTATAGTTTATTCAATAAATTAAAAAACTTCAATTCAATAAAACAAATTAATTGCAATCAAATTCAAATCAAAATCAATGTATTATATAATGATATTAACCCGTCTAAGAGCCACATTCTGTTGGATGTCAATAGTATTGTATGGGCGGCGCCGGGATGTTATTGTGGTCACAAAATCACAGCATAATATATATAAATCGCGAGTTTGGTGTGAATGGGATGGCAGTAGATATTAGGGTCGAGTGAATTCACACGCAATCAAAAAATCAAATCACAAAACATTAGTAAAAAATTATTAATTTTCAGCAAAAATAACTAAATTATTGGTAAACTAATAATTAATTCAATACAATAAACTCCCGATATAAATAAATATACGTGTATATCGCAAAAATTCAATTGTCATTATATCGAGAGTTTAGTTGTAATACAGTATTAAAAGCATAACCGCTTGTAATATGAGGGCATTTGTTGATATCACAGCACACGTGGGGTGCAAAAAGGGTCTTAAAAAGTCATTCAAATGGTGGTGTGTTTGGCCACACAGTCAGCACATACCGGGTCTCCGTAATCCAGTGGTGGAAAGCGTTGGCGTATTTGGCGAACTCGCGTCGGAGCCGATCGTTCTCCTCCTGCCTCTGATACTCTTTGGCCAACTCGACGTCGCGCTCCTGAATAATCTTCTGAAGGTTACGCCACGTGTCCTCCAACGCCTCCATTGTGAACCACGTGTACGGATTGGGACCGACGTTGAAGTTCTTGATCTGACGATCCAATTGGGCCAACACTTCGAAGTCATTCTGAGCGCCGCTAAGACTCTGTTGGAACTGTTGGTGCGCTTCGCGAAGGGCGCGGATCTCTTCGATGGAGTTGCAGCGGACGGGATCTGTCAGGTCTT